ATTTTTTTGTTTTTTTTTTTTTTTTTAGGACCTAATAACTTCCACCAGCACAGACACAGACCTGATCGGTTATGTGATTTACCTGTGGATAGTTAACCAGGGCTAGAATGATTCTCCAGGGGCAAGAGAGAAGAACCATATAATGAATATATATTAATAATATATTAAATAGAAATGATAGGTTTGGCTATTGTCCATCAATAGTATGTTGGTTTTTTTTTTTTTTTTTTTTTTTTTTTTTTTTTTTTTTTTTTTTTTTTTTTTTTTTTTTTTTTTTTTTTTTTTTTTTTTTTTTTTTTTTTTTTTTTTTTTTTTTTTTTTTTTTTTTTTTTTTTTTTTTTTTTTTTTTTTTTTTTTTTTTTTTTTTTTTTTTTTTTTTTTTTTTTTTTTTTTTTTTTTTTTTTTTTTTTTTTTTTTTAAGGACCGCTAGCATAATTCACAGACCAGAACCCCAGACAACATTTCTTTGGCTTTGCGTTTGGGTTGAATACGAGTGGGTTGTGATAACGTGGTGTTCTTCGGTGAGGATGGAGTTTTGTGTTTTTTAACTGTGCTAGGACGTGTAACTTTATTGGGTGGACCTGTCTTTGTGGTACATGTTGCCTTACTTGTATTTATGGTGTTTCTTTGAGGTTGTATTTGTGTTATTGCTTGGGTTATTGGTGGAGGTATTACTGTATTTTGTGAGCTAGTAGTGCTGTTTAGGTTTTTGCGTTTGGGTTGAGTACGAGTGGGTTGTGATAACGTGGTGTGTTTCTGTGAAGAAGGAGTTATGTGTTTTTTAACTGTGCTAGGGCGTGTAACTTTATTGGGTGGACCTGTCTTTGTAGTGCATGTTGCGTTACTTGTATTTATGGTGTTTCTTTGTTCTTGAGGTTGTATCTGTGTTGTTGCTTGGGTTATTGGTGGAGACATTACAGTATTTTGTGAGCCTGTAGTGCTTTTAAGGTTGTTGCGTTTCGGTTGAATACGAGTGGGTTGTTTCTGAGAAAGAGGAGTATTGTGTTTTTTAACTGTGCTAAGACGTGTAACTTTATTGGGTGGACCTGTCTTTGTAGTGCAAGTTGCGTTACTTGTATTTGTGGTGTTTCTTTGTTCTTGAGGTTGTATTTGTGTGGTTGCTTGGGTTTTTGGTGGTTATTATTATTATTATTATTATTATTATTATTAGTAAAATTACCTTACAGCGACGTAAGCTTTAGTGAAGATTAGGTCAGCAGTACTAACGCCAAAGTCGGATCACAACGTCGTTCCAACCCAAATTTTATTCACCAAATTGGTGCATATGTGGGTCGGCACGACGTCGTACCGAAGTCGGGCACCGACCGACGTCAGGTTGCGAACCCCAACGTTGTACAACGTTGGTTGGACGTCCAAATTCTGCTTGGGGTCAGTGGGTCTTTTACAAGAGAAAAGACCTTTTGCATGATTTAAATCTGTTACTGGCGCGCGGACTATTAGTACACCTTTTGTTCCATATAATAACATTTTTTAGCCTTGTAATACCGTATCGGACTATTAGCGCCACGATACGACTACCAGCGGTCACCCTGTCACGAGGTGACATATCTGGATAAAAGAAATAAACGAATAAAAACACTATAATTTATTCATAAACGTTATTAGATGATTATATAAAAGTGGCACGACATCTCGGGCAGTAAGAAAATCTTCGTGATTAAACAATTGGTGTTCTACGGTGTAAATATCGTAGGGGTTTGTTCCATTGGGCAGCATCTTATGTACATACTCTACATCCTGAAAATGAAAGTCAAGCTACCGACGTACACCCCTAATGAATTACACACCTCTTTAGTAATTATTAAATCGTTTAGCGCCCTGATTAGATACGTTGGAACTTTTAACTGCGATAAATCGTACTGTGGTGGATGGATAGACCCGTACACTTTTAAATTGGTCTCGGCTCCGTGATCAAAGTAAGCGAGGGTTCCATTTAATACTAATTGGATACAGTGTGTAAGCGTTCTGAATGAGATTGCATCAGCGTTCTGTAGTAAAGTAACTGGCAATGTTTCCTGAGAAGAAAAGGATTAAGAAATATATGTATAGACTAACGGAATGTCTTACGGGATCATTTTGTTCATAATCAAAGCCTAGTGTGGCCATTTCAAAAAATTGACAATAATACATTTGAAATGGATAGCGGGTGCACAATGACTCTCGAATGGGATTTCCCGGCCTTCCTCTTAGGTAAATTTCTTCATTTGTTAAGGCAGCAATAAGCGGCTGTAAGATATAGTAATAACTCAGTAGAGTTAACTAGTTTTTTGGGCGATTTTTAATAATTACGCTTGCATAACTCCATAAACCGAAGATGTATCTAGTTAGCGACTTCCAATTTTTCACGTAAAGAGTTGGTGCCAAGCTAATAATAATCTTCAATTTTTCTTTCGCAATCTCTGGTGAGGTCACACCGTAAATGTAGCCGGTTGTTGAACCCAATGAGTGTCCAATGTAAATTATGCTTTGACCCGTCACTTCATGAATATAATCAATGTTTGCTGATGTATCATACACTCCAAGTTCATATGTATCAAAATGCCAATACCTTCTGTCAGTGTGTTTTATATGCGTGTGGCGTTTCGAGTATGTTGTTCCACGAAAGTTTCCCAGCCATACATCGTATCCTTCGTCTGCGAGAATAAACCCTACAAGACCGTAGTAATCAAAGATTACCACCAGATCAGGCGATTCTTACCTAGAGATTTACTTCCTCTGTTAATAAAAGATGCGCTATTTACCACAGCTCCATGTTGTAAAAAAACTGGCGGACCTGATATTCCTAGTGAATTCTTTGGATGCGGTATTCTAAATAACGTTAGAATGTAACCATCTTTCGTAATTACATGATGTTCTTCTACTGTATAACCTCTTCCTCGAATAATCTGAGACTACAATGGTTTATTTAGCGATGGTATAGTATGATAAAAAAGCTACTTACTACGTTCAGTTTTGCTTCGGGATTATAATAACAATTCTTGTTACTATCCCGGTCACCATAATAATCCGAAAAACTGGTACAAACGTTATTTTTATTTCTAGGTAAGAGATACACGCTAAGTGTTAGAATCACAATTGCTGCTACAACTACAAATTTCGCTTCGCTGTATATGAACGAAGTCATATTTAATACTATTTGTCTCGTATAGGTCACTTGCACACCAAATTTGATTATCTAGTAAGAATGTCTAACATTTCCGTAAACCTCTTACTAGACACTGAAATTATTTTGTATGATCACACTATGCATACCGACGTAAACTTTGGACAGCGTAAGTTTGATAAAAGTTTAAGTAACTTTTATCAGATAGTTTCTATTGCATAAAGATCGGACCATATTACGTCAACCTTGACTTTTCACGTTCAGAATAGCACATGTGGAAGATTGTTACTGGCAGACAGAAGAAATGGGCGAATATGTTTTGTACATAAAGTAGAACCAACTGCAAGAAGGAAAGATAATAAACAAACAATTAAGACTATGACCTTACGTGTTTTTCTTAATTGTATTGTATTGCATATTTTATATTGGTATAGTCCGCTCACCTTGACTCTACAGCACAGGGAACAGAGGGGGTTTTTATCGCGGCGCTGCCGATTTTAATTTGAATGCTAATTGTCATACCTTCCAACGTGAAATGTAATTTAGTGCGTTAATGCTATATGTATAGTCACAACAGTTTCAGTTGCACTACAGTCACAATGTGCGCGTCTTTGTATGACAATGCGCGACCAGGATAATCCAATGTGAAGATTACGGAGGAGGAGGAGTCCAACAGACAATCACAGAGTAGAGGAGAGTATATTTTTATTTTCACTATATATACGAGCCCCAACACATAAATGTTCGGATACTCAAAATTTTTACTTAAAATCATTGTTTTTTAGCGCATTTCCACAAAAATTTAAAAAAATTCCCTCTTGTGGCTACTTTGTTCGTCCGTCCGCTCGTTCGTTAAGACGCAAAGTTCAAAGTTTTATTTATTTCCAATAGATTACATAAATGTAATGTAGGACATATCAAAGTTTACATTGTTACATATAAAACATACAAGACGTTACAACGAATTGAAATATTCTTCAAGGGAATAAAATTGCTTCTCCAGTAGGTATGATATTAATGCGCGTTTAAAGCTTTTTAATGTTGTTAGAGATTTAAATGTTGTTGGTAATTTATTGAAAAGTTTTTTACCAAGTATTATGGCAATTTGACTTTTATGTTACCTCTGGAGAAGGATATGCGCAGGTCATTACAGTTCCTGGTTGCCCTGTTATCTAATTCGATATTTTTTCTATGGAAACATTTAAGGGAAATTTGATACATAGGTGCTTGGAATAAAGGAAAATCTAACGCCAGTTTCAATATAAAACTCGATAGTTGGTAGATGGGTATAACCTTAATAGGGTCAAGGGCGCAGGCTTCCGTAGAAATAACGGAGCTATAATGATTAAGTGAGTTTCAAACAAAGTAATAATCATAATTCGCTAGTATCGAAAACCAAAATGTAATCAAACGTTAAAAGGGAAAACGACGAAAATACTAAATTTACTTCCGGTCACAACCTGTTGAGCTCAAGAGGACGCGAAATTGCAGATCTGTAAACAGACAGATACACAAACAAAAAAATGAGAGGGGTACTGATTCACTTTGCACAATATATCGCATAAGCAATGTAACGTGCTCTTCGGCGCGACAACTCAGGGGGTAGGGGTGGGTTACAACAAACTAATGACATATACAATATATACAGGGCGCCACGCCGTTTGGGACCAATAAACGGAGTAACGGCGAATCTCCGGGGGAAGACTAAATCAAACAACTATTCGGAAGACACTCGGATACGTTAGCATATATATATTTAATTACTAAACATGCGATGGACGACTACAATATAATATAACAAATCCTGTGATAGCTTACAGACTAACATACAATACAAACACCCTCGCATCCACGCAACCACTCAGCAACGCTCACCCTTTTTATGGTCAGATGGTAGGTATGGTAGAGATGAGATGGTTCCGCTTCCGGTGAGTATCTATTGTGATTACAGATGAACTAGATCCTATGTTGGGGTTGCAGGTGGTGCAGCAGGTACAGGCAAGACGGCCAGGAGCTAGCGAATAATCCCAGTACTCAGTCACGTTGATGGCAGCGTTCGTAAGCCGATGGAGTGGCTGATTTAAACGGTTAGCCAATTTCCAACCGTAATAGCAATTGTTAACATCCGACACGAGGGGTTATTCTCAATACTCAAAAGAATCAAACATCGGATTTATGGCTCAGTGGTAGAGCATTGGGTTATAAATCCGGAGGTCGGGTGTTCGAACCTGGGTTGAGGTGAATTTTTCACTGTGGCGGAGATGGAAATACCGTAGACCAGTTCCTCCGAGCATTCTACCGGCTACTTCGAATTAGGTTTTCCTGCAGTTTTCCTAATTCGTAAGGTAAATACCGGAGTAGTATAGACCAACTTAAGACCTTCTGATGCTTTATGCGGGTCACTCTGTAATTGGGGGCATGCCTGTTGAGCGCCCAAAACAAGAGAGATAAATAATAAATAATAATAAAAATGACTACGCTAAAACCAAATTTGGTTCAACTAAGGGTTGGTCCTTACAATGGGTATGAGATATAGCAAAAAGTGACGTAAAGTTTTAAGAAAAATACTACAAAATGTACAAATAACTAAATCTCTATTCAATGGCAAAACAATCTTATCAATTCAAATGCAAACAAATTTATACGAGCAAGTCTGAATCCGAACAGGCGATTCCTATTTAAAACTCCTTGCATTATTAGTAGAGTGCTCGTTGCAAAGAAAGTCGTCTAGAAATGACTTCCGTGGGGGTTTTGGTGTCACAAGCTGAAATTCACAAAAAATGAAAGGTCATCATATACTGATTCTAAATGTCAAGGCCGTCCAAAATCGGTCCATGCATTAGGGCACAAAACGCGAAAAACGAGTTAAGCACATGTACGGAAAGACGAAAAAATAACGAATTTTTTGGTATATAAATCAAAATTTTCTTTGTACAGTGAAAGTAATAATAAATTATCAAACGTTTTCAATTACATTGGGTCTTACGGAAGAATTAAACTTCAAACGCGATTATCTCAGTTCGATATCCCTAAAAATTTGACAAATTTTGAGCAACTTTTGCGTTTACATCGTATTATTTAATAAACGGAAGCCTATATCAAAAAGTTTTACTCTTAAAAAAAGTTTCGCTCATCGTTTATCTTTACATTGCACTGAGAATTATAATTTTATGTGCAATAGTAACCAAAATATGTAATTAAAAGTAAAACAACGAACTTTTTACTCACTTACAAACGAAGCGCTTTCGCTCCGGTGAATACAATCCATCTCTACATTTCCCGTAGCTCCATTTCGCTCTTACTCATAGGTACGTTCTCGACACGGGTATACCAAAGCTTTGCCAATATAATTGATACAGATAATTATTAATTACATAAATCAATGAATGTGAAACTCAAAAAGAGACCAAACCATAATTTTAAGAAACATAAAAAAAATTGTAGATACAGAACATCGCCTTATACTTACAACCCCAGGTAACTTTTTAAATGTGTCATACTAAATGATATGCACTTAATAACAAAACAATAATACCCTAAACTAACACGTAGCAGTAATGTGATTTCTTTTCCTAGGTAAGTGCATTAAAAGAATGACAAATAGAAAAAATTTGATTCCATTTATTTACAACCTTTTCGTCAACTGAGCATTCAGAATCGCCGTGCTCTTAGATGTGATGTCAGTAGAATTTTGCACGATCTTTGGACCATGCTGGGGCATAACTTACCCTTTATACATTCAGTGAGAATTTAGAACAGTTAAATTGTTAGGAATTGGCCGCAATGTGATGAAAATGGGCAAAAGTTCGCTTTTTCTACTAATATAAGTACTATTCATTGTGGGGGGCAATTTTGGACAGGGTGCCATATTTTGATTTAAAAACACACCCTTAAACAGTGAGTATTCTGTTGGTGGCAACTTATGGCTAACTTTTGTCCATTTTCATCACATTGCGGCCAATTCCTAACAATTTAACTGTTCTAAATTCTCACTGAATGTATAAAGGGTAAGTTATGCCCCAGCATGGTCCAAAGATCGTGCAAAATTCTACTGACATCACATCTAAGAGCACGGCGATTCTGAATGCTCAGTTGACGAAAAGGTTGTAAATAAATGGAATCAAATTTTTTCTATTTGTCATTCTTTTAATGCACTTACCTAGGAAAAGAAATCACATTACTGCTACGTGTTAGTTTAGGGTATTATTGTTTTGTTATTAAGTGCATATCATTTAGTATGACACATTTAAAAAGTTACCTGGGGTTGTAAGTATAAGGCGATGTTCTGTATCTACAATTTTTTTTATGTTTCTTAAAATTATGGTTTGGTCTCTTTTTGAGTTTCACATTCATTGATTTATGTAATTAATAATTATCTGTATCAATTATATTGGCAAAGCTTTGGTATACCCGTGTCGAGAACGTACCTATGAGTAAGAGCGAAATGGAGCTACGGGAAATGTAGAGATGGATTGTATTCACCGGAGCGAAAGCGCTTCGTTTGTAAGTGAGTAAAAAGTTCGTTGTTTTACTTTTAATTACATATTTTGGTTACTATTGCACATAAAATTATAATTCTCAGTGCAATGTAAAGATAAACGATAAGCGAAACTTTTTTTAAGAGTAAAACTTTTTGATATAGGCTTCCGTTTATTAAATAATACGATGTAAACGCAAAAGTTGCTCAAAATTTGTCAAATTTTTAGGGATATCGAACTGAGATAATCGCGTTTGAAGTTTAATTCTTCCGTAAAACCCAATGTAATTGGAAACGTTTGATAATTTATTATTACTTTCACTGTACAAAGAAAATTTTGATTTATATACGAAAAAATTCGTTATTTTTTCTTCTTTCCGTACATGTGCTTAACTCGTTTTTTGCGTTTTGTGCCCTAATGCATGGACCGATTTTGGACGGCCTTGACATTTAGAATCAGTATATGATGACCTTTCATTTTTTGTGAATTTCAGCTTGTGACACCAAAACCCCCACGGAAGTCATAATTTCTGCCACGGAGCACTCTACTATATAGGTATAACGAATTTTTATTAGAAATATTGCAATTATGGATACTGCTAATGCGAATTTTGCACTTAAAATGTAGATGTATTTAGCCTATGGGCCCTAAGATTCAGTAGAATTAATCACACGAAAGGTATTTCTCGAATTCCCATTGAAGGCAATGTGGTACTATTGACGATCCTCGAGATCGTTTATAATTTTGTATTGCTGCCTGTTCGTGTGCACGATAACTTTGTGTGGAAACGTAGGATTGCTTTAAAAATTGATAAACCAGTTATACTATATTTGTTTGTTATTTTATGTACCTATATATGTATATTTTTTTTTTATTGGATGCTATGTGTCAATGACGTGTCGAAGCCAAGGATTGGTGGAATGACAAATAAAGATTATTATTATTATTCAGGATATATAAGAAAGGTCACTATTGTTTTTCGACTACGTAAGCTAACGGGTCAAAACGTTACAGCCCAAAACTGTCGAAACCTCCAAAAAAAGGTTCCTTTTATAATTCTTCTTACAAAGAACATAATATGAATGTCCGGTTCTCTGTCTTAGTAAATATTCCTTACATTTCATGTAACTATGCTGCGAGCTTGACCTTGTAGTATATCCTGGTATTTTCAGTGATACATTCCTGATAACCCATTGCCGCCATGCATAATAAGTAAGTCTCTGCATCGGGCGATAAGCGATCAGTATCAGTGTTTAACTTGATGTCACCTCTTACGTGAGAAGTAAACACAGATTCAATCCAGGATTTTTGAACAACCTGAGGTTTTATATTGTACTTGGTAAAACATTAAAGAACTTAGTTTCCTTTTTGTTTGTTTTATATTTAAATGTTTTGATGTGTAATTTGAATGTTTATTGTAATTGATTAACATGTCCTGTATTTTTTGCAATCATTATCCATCTTCGGAAATGAAATTCACTAATTCGCTGGCGAGATCGAGTTATAAAAAGAAATTTGTAAATTATCAACTTCAGGAATTGCTTTCCGCTATCAGACGATGCAATACGAAACTGATAATACAATACAAATACGCTTTCGTAATAAGGACGTTCACACATAGAGATCGGAGCCGACGTTTGCCTATTGTTTTTTCCAATGCAAGCAAACAAAAGTCTTAATGAAGCTAGACTGCGTGTGACAAATCTTGAAACTAGATCCTCCAAACAGTGCACATGCAAACCACTCGTGCGGTTTCCTACAGGCTAAAACTAAACACATGATATTCATCAAAATAAATAAAGAAAACTTGAAATAAATTTTATTGCAATTACAGTTTTGCTTTTTGCTAATTCCTGCGCTCTCACTAGATGGCGCTAATATAACTTGTAATAATAAAAATAATTAAGAATGTTCTTATCAGACTCCTTTCAGATTTTATTCTATAAATGAAAGACGATCATTTTCCAGCAAAGAGCATAATTTATTACATAATTCGGAGTTCGCGTCGGTGCGCCACACTTTAACTCGCCTTTTTTTAAATTGAATTGAATTACTTGCTGGCGTGTGCAAACAACACTCGAAGTCTGCTTACATGTGCTAGCAATGAACAACAAATGAAGGACAAGTATTTATTTTGAAGTTCGTGATAACTTCGCTATAGGTCACGGTTCCCTAAAGCGTCTTTATACTCTTCTACCATTCACTAATTGAAGTTACAAAAATCAACTTAAACTGTTCTAAATATTTAAGAAAGGTTATTAATAAAATTAACTAAAGGATTGTAAACGAGCGGAACGACGTCTCGAGCTGCAATGAAATCATCATGATTAAATGCTTCGTGTTTAACAATGTACAGGTCGTATGGATTGACCTTTTTGGGTAAATGTTCATGCAACAGTTTTACATCCTATAATGGAAGTAGTTAAAATTGTTTATTATATTGTTGTCGCATTACCTCCACCGTTATCATCATGTCGTTTATAGCTGTCACTAAATAAGTTGGAACGCTTAGTCGGGATAAATTGTGCTTTGGTACCTCCGGTGATCCATATGCTGCCATATTGAGTTCCTCCGAGCCGTAATCCAAGTAATCGAAATTACCTTTCGAGACCAATTGCAAACCGTGACTAATTGTCTTGTAAGATGTCGCATCCGAATTTTGTAAGAGAGTGACGGGTAACGTTTCCTGAAATCAATGTGATAATTGTGGTTTATGCCAGCTATGGATATACAGGGTCGTTTTGCTCGTAATCAAAACCCATAGCGATCATATCCATAAGTTGGCAGAGGTACATCTGGAAAGGGTATGGTAGACACAACATTTCTCTTAGCTTGCTTTGGTAAGTGCCTCTTAGTGCCACTTCTCCATTAGTAAAAAATGTGAAAAAGGGCTACAAAACCACAGGAATTACTCAAGTTAGAACATTAGAAAAAAAAACGATACCTCAGTGTACGGCCAAAATTGAATAAAGTATTTCGTTATCGACTTCCAGTTTGATAAAAATACTGTTGGAGCTAAACTGATGATGATTCTAATTTTCTCTTCCGCTAAGCTCGGATTCGTTACGCTATACATGTATCCCGCCGTTGATCCAAACGAAAAACCCAGGTATGTTATCTTTTGCTTTGTAATACTGTAGATATGATCAATTTTTGCGGCGATATCGTATACACCCAATTCGTAGGTATTAAATTCCCAAAATAATCGATCGGTGTTTTTTAACTGCGTATGTTTTTTCCCATAGACAGTACCTCGAAAGTTTCCTAGCCAGACGTCGTATCCCGCATCGGCCAGTAGGAAAGCTGAAGGCAACACAGATGACAACTCGTTTTAAGAGTTAAGCTAACAGAGACTTTTTTCTTCGTTAGAGCAAGTATTTTGCCATTTCGGCAGTTTAATTCTTAAAGTGAGTTTAATTTATAGCTATAATTCCATTTACCTAATGATTTATTTCCCCTGTTTACGAAGGAGGCGCTGTTAGTTAAAACACCATGCAAAATTAGAATCGGACGACCAGATAACAATGTCGAAGAATTTTTCCCAAGTGGTATTCTGAATAATGTCAAAATATACCCATCTTTTGTGGTTACGTCGTGTTCCTCCACTGGGTATCCACGTTGCTTTATTATTTGCGACTAGTATTCAACAAAGAAAATACATCATTAGGATGTAGGTATGTAGAAATGGCATTTTCAAATTTTGATGTTTATGGGACAAACAAAGTTCGGCAAACAATACATGTCACACAGTAAAATTATCAGTCATTGATATCTATTAAATAAATAACGTGGGTTAGAGCAATGAAAGACTTACAACGTTCATATAGGTATCCGGATTGTAGTAGCAATTCTCATTTTTATCGCGATCGCCGTAGTAGTCGGAAAACGACTTGCACACATTGTTTTTGCTTCTAGGTATCAATAATAAACTAATTAGCGCAATGAAAACTGACAAAATAGTAATCCGCTTCATCTTGAATCTGGAGCAAGTATAATGCCATATTGTTTACAAAAACAGCATTGCTTTGAACTTTAGACGCGGTTTTTATAGGACTCGTGTTAATTACGTTTTTGTTAAAAGAAGAATACAAAGTTTAAAGATCTAACACACTTCTTGCAAAGAGGAAGTACCACGATTTTGATACGAAACCCGTTTTATAATAAGTAAAACAATAAAATTCGTTGATTGGCGTGTCGAAACTGTATGAACAAAGATACAATTCTTTTTGATATTGAAACATTTGTACTTCCTACAAAGATATTGCTATCTGTCATTGTAACCTTGTTTGCGAACTCCGTGACCTATTACACCAATAACCAAATAAATAATAACTAAATATCTAAAACAAAATTTGCATAGTTATAATGCAAGGAACAAAGAACACATTCACATATTCAATAAAACAAAGGGTGGCTTATCAACAAAAATTAAAAACTTAAAATTACATTCAAAGCCAGTATAATAGTTATTTGTATAACTAATTTTGAAAGTGATACTTTCTTTATAACGGTTGGATTTGAAAGTGATGAGGTAGAATAGGTTGCATATACACTTAGGGGTTTAGAAATCAAAATTTTGGAGAATAATTGATAACATTAAATTTCGTATTTGGCGTAAACTGATAACTGTTATGGTTCCTGAGAAAAAAATGAGGAAAAAATTAAATTAAAAATTGTGGAGGTGGCTCCCAAACGAAACACGTTAGACCCTCAGTTTATTTGGAAAAAGTGCTTGTTTCGATCCCCTCTACCACCCAATTTTTTTTTATACACTTATACGTAAGATCCTGTATTTCAAACATTCATTATGAATAGGATCCGTATTCCAGAGAGGCACATTTGCTAATTTTAGTAGCACACACCAGCACACTACTAGCACAACAAAATTTAATTATCACGGGTTCAATTTTTCTATTTTGGGCGGGGCTGAGCGTCGAGTTGGCCCCGCAAATAAAAAATTAAAAAAAAAATAGTTAGGATGTAGCACATTTGCTAATTTTAGTAGTACACACCAGCACACTACTAGCACAACAAAATTTGCTTGTCACGGGTTCAATTTTTTTATTTTAGGCGGGGCTGAACGTCGAGTTGGCCCCGCACACAAAAAATTAAAAAAAAAATAGTTGGGATGTAGCACATTTGTTAATTTTAGTAGCACACACCAGCACACTACTAGCACAACAAAATTTAATTATCACGGGTTCAATTTTTCTATTTTAGGCGGGGCTGAGCGTCGAGTTGGCCCCGCAAATAAAAAATTAAAAAAAAATAGTTGGGATGTAGCACATTTGCTAATTTTAGTAGTATACACCAGCACACTACTAGCACAGCAAAATTTGCTTGTCACGGGTTCAATTTTTTTATTTTAGGCGGGGCTGAGCGTCGAGTTGGCCCCGCACATAAAAAATTTAAAAAAAAATAGTTGGGATGTAAAAGCACATTTGCTAATTTTAGTAGCACACACCAGCACACTACTAGCACAATCAACTAACATATATGTTTTTTTTATTTCTTAAACAGCGGGGCTAACTCGACTGACCTATTCCAGAGGGTAAAATCTTGTTTTTTTCTGGCTGTGTTTCAGAAGGAAAGTAATGTTTATCTAAAAAAAAACGATATCGAGTTAGATACCAGAATTTGAAGAGTGGTTTCACTTCACCCCACAGTCGTGGTTAATCATTATATTGTTTAAACGATAATAGCAACATCTAGTGCACAAAGTAAAGTACATTTTTAATAAAAACAATTGGCCTGCAATTAGTTGCAGTGTGTTACAAATACTCTCTTTCAGATATACAGCGCCAGATTGTTGTCAACTGAAACTGTTATCATTGTTAAGTAGTTTGATTTCAATGAAGCGATATATTTCCTATTATCGGATGTTGTGCAATTACAACAAGTACTCTCAGTGACGCACTTATTTATTTCTTAAGTTTAATCAAAATCGCAATTTCTAATATTGTTACGTAAATTTTTATCGCCGTTTTCACTGGTTCATTATTAACCCTGTATAATCACGCTGAGGAATAACTGCAGGAATGTAGCAGCGTGCGATGAATCACGAAGTAAAAAAAGAACACGCTCCATCTGTCCAAATGAGGTGGGCTCGGTGGATACATAAATTATGCCCTTGGGTGGTCGCAAGCAAAAGGTGCACATTTCGAGGGATAAAAATACAGCATTAACAAATATGTCATCACAAGCTCTAGAATGATGAATGATAATTCATACATTGTGCAAATCTCACAGAGTTGCGGTACTTAACACTTACTAATTTTAAAATCCCAATTTGTACTTGGAACAATTTACTTCATGTTACGATACGGATTTTATCCTTCATTTTTAACGGAATATAAGCAAGTTACATTGAAATATTACATTATATTAATAGTAATAGTATAATTGGTCAAGAGCATAAAGCAAAACGAAATAAATAAACTTAACATTCACCTATTTATTGTGTTCAGATCTAAGTTTTTCCATTTACTCGACTTGTGCTTGGATTCTTACCCCAAAAAAATATGGAATTTGTAACATTACAAACGCTTACAAAAGGCGAATTCTACAAATACAGATACGAATACTTCAAACATATGTAAAGAATACGCAAACTTATCTATCTATCACATTTTCTTACCCGCACTAGGCTAGATTAAAGTAAGTGTCGTAATGTCGCCTTTTCATACAAATTACGGTTACTAACTCAATCACAGTATCCACATAGTAACGATACAAAAATAACTTTACAATCAAAGTTTGTCCAGAAATTTAATAAGAGGCTTGTATACCAATGACACTATATCCTTGGCGGTGATAAAATTAAGATGATTGAAATGTTTGTCTTCAACTCTGTAAATACCATGCCGTGTGGTATCTTTAGGCAACGCATCATATAGTCGCTTCAGGCTCTAAAATCAGAAAATGCAAATCGATTCAGATTGTGCAAGAGGGCGTATAGACCTGTTCGGATACACTCTTATCATTTTCACCATGGAATGTGTAACTCGGGATCCGTATGACGGACAAATTGTAACTCAGTGGGTGCGTAGTCCCGTATAATCTCACATTCTCTTGAGGGCCGTAGTCGAAATGCTGAAATTGTTCATAAAGACCCACTTGAATCAAATGGGTAATGGTTTTAACTGAAGCCGCGTCAGTATTGTGCACGATCGTAATTGGCAAAGTTTCCTGGAAGTTTTAAATCATTAAACGTCTTAGTCTTTTGGGATACCTACGGGATCGTTTTGTTCAAAATTGAATCCCAAAGCGATCATTTCGATTAATTGGCAAGTTTTCATCTGAAACGGAAATGGAAGGCATAGTAGCCTTGCTAAACTTGGAATGGGATGTCTAACGAACATCTTTCCATTCGTAACTAATTGTAAAGGATGCTAAAAGTAGAATGTTAGCTATACTTCTTACTTAAAGCACCCACCTCCAGAATGAACCATAAGCGCCCAACGAGTTCAAATAAAAATCCGACATCTTTCAGAAATATAGACGGCGCAAAGTTAATTATGATCTCTAACTTTTCATGGGCGATTTGTGGGAACACGCTACTGTAAACATAAACCGCGGTTGATCCCAGAGAGTAACCAACAAATATCATTTTTTGTTTCGTAATTCTGTACACAAGATCTATTTGCGGTGGAAGATCGAGAACACCGTTTTCGTGAAAGGAAAAATTCCAAAATTCACTGTCTTCAGGTGTAATAGTGTGGTGTCTGTTGCCATACAACGAACCTCTAAAATTCCCCATCCAAACATCGTAACCTGCGTCGGCCAGTATATACGCTGTAATTAGAATTTTTGTAATCGTTACTACAACACTGGGCCTAACTTACCTAAAGATTTGTTACCCACATTCACATAGATACCGCTGTTTAATGTCATGCCATGCTGTAAAAATACGGGCTTTCTAATTTTGTGGGTTGAAGGAACCTTTCCATAAGGTATACGAAATAAAGTTAAAATATATCCATCATCCGTGGTTACTTCGTATTGTTCCAAGGGGTAGCCGTTTCTCTTAACAATATCTGGCTGAAGTTCACAGATGAGATTAGTTTCATTGTTGATATAATCATTATTCTAACATTGATATACTTACCACTTCGAGTTTATAATCTGGGTTATAATAACAATTTTGGTTCTCATCGCGATTAGAGTAATAATCCTCGAATGTTTTGCACACGTTATTGTTCCCCGTATTGAAAAACAACACACTTAAAAACACGGTTAAAACGACGGACAAAGATATCGCCCATTTCATTGTTGCTGCCATTACGAATGCTCTGTAATATTTGAACCCAATTTATATTAAGTAATTGATAACAGTTTTTATTGTACAGATGAAGATTTTATCTTCAACGATATCTCACAGATTTTGAAGTACAGTTGCACCAGCAACACTATAATATATTTACTGACGAACGTGAGATACGAACATGACCTTTCTGTGATATTGCCTTATCATCTTTTGCAAATGATGTACCAATTTAGTGTAAAAAAAGATGTCACATTTTTGCAACTGTTCCGTCAATTATCCGTTTATTATAATAAGAGGAAAAATAGTAATAAGTAGGTTCTCTAGGATATTTACGTGACAAGACTGATTTTATTAAAAAAAAGTTCCATAATTAATAATTTTAAGTCACGGCAATGTTCTGCCACTAAAATTAGTAATACAATGAGTGTGTAATAACTGCTTGCTGGATGGCTTGTGACGTTCAATTCACGAACGCTGACGTGAAATAAGTATATTGATGCAATAAAGTGATATGACGTTGGGAACGTAGTATTTAGATAAAAAAGTTACGCCCTAAAAATACTTCTGTCGCAATGATTCAGTAACTTTGAAGCTGCAAACGTTCAATCTTCCATCAAGCAGAATTTCGGCCTTTCTTTTAGTTGAGTTTTATTAAACGGCCGAAAGCGGTTTTATACTTATCAGTCAATCTGCCTGACGAATAAGGTTTGGTGTATATATTTATTTTCGAGATTTTCAAACTGGTTCAGGAATATTATTTGCCGTTTTTGATTAGTGATTTCGAAATCGATTTGGTTGTTGTTTACGGGTAATGGAAATATATTGTTTGTTGATCGTGCAACAAATAATCAAAAAAAGATGTGTTTGTTGCAACCATAATGATATTTACGGTCATGGTCATAAGTGGGGGCAAAGAAGGGCAAGGTAAACAGCCTTTTTCTATAATGAGATGCATGTATCGATAATGAATGCCTTGATAAGTATCGACATGCTGATCAGGTCATAACCCAAATGAGTCCTAACCTTCTACTGATGGAAAAATTGTTGTGTAGAAAAAAAGAAAAGATCAACTACACGAGTGGAAGGGAACTCCTCTGAAACTTGGTTTTCGATAATGTCATGATAAACGTAGGTTGTTGATGGAAAGAAGTGACGGCGTAGCATGGCGTTCTCAGTATTTAACAAAATTCAAAGAAAACGATCACCGTGAAGGTGATAGGGCTGGTGAGAGGTACATCATAACTTTCATAACTTTTATTGTTTCCTTTTGACAATATAATATTGTATTAGGACATGTCACAAAATGAAGAAAAAAGAAAGAAACAGCAAAGAAAACATTGACATAATTTAACATAAAGATAACATAACATAACTTAAAACCTTGAGCACTTACTTACTTCTAAAAACTCGTCGACAGTGTAAAAAGCATTTTCGCTTAGAATATTTTTTATTGATCTTTTAAAATCTTTGAGCGTATGCAGGTTTTTAATTGAGGTTGGGAGGTGGTTGAATAGTTTGATTCCTACAGAGTTTGGAGATTGTTTTGCGATTTTTAACCTTGCCATGGGTATACTAAGGTCTCCTTTATTTCGGGTGTTATACGAGTGAAATTCATTGTTGCGCCTAAGTTGGTGTTTATTTTTGTAGATATGTGTTAATACTTCCAATATATATAGCGATGGAAGGGTGAGGATGTTATATTTGATGAAATATGGTCGGCATGACTCCCGCTGCTTTATGCCCAATAAACATCGTATTATACGTTTTTGTACAATAAAAACTTTAGCGGCCAGTGTAGATGATCCCCAGAAAAGAACACCGTAACATAACCTTGACTGAACCTCCGCATAATAGAAGGACAATGTGAAATATACACCAATCAACTGTCTGATACTACGGATTTGAAAGCAACAAACATTAAGCTTTTTTATCAAGCATAAGCAGTGGCACTTCCAGTTTAATTTTGAATCCAAGCACATTCCCAGGTATTTCCCTGATTGTTGCACTGGAACATTAGCAAGAAGGGATACATCGGTGGTGGGAGAAATAGAAGAAAATAAAATGCAGTACGTTTTGCTATTGTTTAAATGAAGTTTGTTAAAATTAAACCACCCTTGAAGCGTCGATAGAATTCCACTTGCCCGTTGTTGTAGGTCAAGAATAGTTTTACCGGAAACTATTGCAGTAGTGTCATCCGCATACATGATTACAGAGTTCAAAATGAAAACAATATCATTGATAAATAAAAGAAACAGGATTGGCCCTAAAATCGAGCCCTGTGGTACGCCACTGTTCATCGGCAAAAGGCACGATGAGAACTTTGTGATCTTGGAATTGGAATTGCACTTTATTTCTACATACTGAGATCTTCCCGATAAGTTTCGTAACGGATGGTTAGCGGATTAATTTGTCACAAAAAATCAGGAATTATCATGAAGATGTGAATTACTTTATGCAGTGGTTAAAGAAGCAGCTTATACCAAATTTACCAACAAATTCAATTGTCCTTGTGGATAACGACCATACAATAGTTTTCAGATAAATAAGCCCCCAACGCTGAATAATCGTAATCAAATATATGTATTTTTACTTGCAATATCCCATGGTTGTGACAATTCAACTTACAGAAAAAAAGCAATATACAATAAACTCCCATTCTGTGATGTGAGGCGGTCGCGAGTAGACGTGCTCTGTTGCAGTAAATTAAATATTTTTCAAAACTGTGTTAAATCGCTCGTTTAAATACAAGGTCCAATATCAAAGGGACCGACAAGAAATCCAAATTCCAACTTTTTAGGGACAAATTATCCAAATAATTTGGATTGTTTTCGTCAAGATATCCAATTTTTATCGACATATTATCCAAATCCAAATAAAGCGACAAAATATCCAACCAATTTGGAAACTTGAACTGGAACCGCTTGATCCACTTTCTCCAAGGGTAATATACTTAGACCTACAATAAGTGCAGGTCTAATAGGCTATATCACGCGTTGAATGTTGTTCTTGCAGGACTCTTATAGGAGCTGCATCAAAGATGTTTATTTCGTCGTTGTTCATTTTGCTGCTATCCTATAACTCATTTATTAGATAGATAGATAAACTTTATTCATATTTACCGTAAGGTGTTGAATAATCTTGCACAATAAACTTACTAGGTAGGCACTAATTCTTTGACGCTGTATGTTTCGTACTGCACAAGGTTCATACGTGATTAAAGGGCTTGAATAAATTTTGGATTTCTTGTCTAAAAAAGTTTGGATATCTTGTCAAAAAATTTCCGAACTTTTTGGATATTTTGTCCAAAAAATTTGGATTTCTTGCCTAAAAAAAATTCGATATTTGGATATCTTGTCGCGCAACCGACAAGATATCCAAATCGGAGTTTCCAAATTAGTTGGATATTTTGTCGCTTTATTTGGATTTGCATAATTTGTCGATAAAAATTGGATATTTTGACGAAAACAATTCAACGATCAATCGAACTTACCTGTGAAGTTTGATCGTAATTATATGAGGTGTCCAGTCCGAAGATATAATTATTATTTACTATGTAGATGTTTAGAGCTCTAAGGCAAATACACTAATGCGGGTGGTCAAGCTGAATGTCTATAAAACCACCGTGTTATCAATCCAAAACCCGCAAAAGCAAAACAATGTAATTTCCAAGAAAAATACAACTGAAATTCTATTCCACATAATGGGAACTAAACAAAAATATCAATACCAAAAAGCAATCACGTTTGATTCATTAAAACTGTCCTCGCGAAAGCGTCTGGCTGATCAATCTGTCTATTGTAGAACCTGGCGAACGCCGAAGACTTCTCCGTCCATCCTGCCGTTCTTCTGATGGTCTCTAAGGAAAGGCCCCGGCGAAAAGCCGCCGAGGTTGACGCACGTAGAGTGTGCTTTAAAAATCTCCGTATCAACTCCGGCTGCCGCCAGACTCACCTTAACCCAGCGACTTAGTGTTTGCTTATTAGCTACGTGATGTGGCTTTTTAAAAGTCACAAATAAGGTATCCCCGTCTGGCGGGCGGAGACCCTTGGTTAGCGAAATATATTCTTTTAAGGTTGTTGCGACGCAAATCTTGGGATTGTCCACAAAAAAAGGGTAACTCTAACACAGGTTGCACACGACCTACGCCCGTAGTCTTAAACCTGTCGGGAATAGGAATCCTAATTCTATCCGTATTCTCTAATATGTTTGATAATTTAATTAGAGATATGGTCTGTATCCGTTGACCAGATACCAGCGCTAGTAGGGTAACTAGCTTCTTGGAGACTGATTCCAAAGTTATAGTTGACTCACCCAGGAAGTAATCCAAAACAATCTGAGGGTCCCAGGTATGGGAGAATCTTGCTCTAGGTGGCCGCAAGTTGAGAACCCCTTTCAAAAATCTTTTAACTAGACGACACTGATCTAAATTTGTAGTTAAAATAAAGGACAATGCTGATCTATGACAGTTGAACGAAGCGTAGCCCGAATTCTTTGAATCCAACAATTCTTGCAAGAATTGTAATACGCTTAGTTGGTTTGCGGAGAACTGATGTATGTGAGTTCTCTGACAAAATTCCCACCAAAGCTTGTATGTGATGTCATATTGTGCGACGGTTGATGGAGCCACTGACTTCAAAATCGTGTTGATAGAACTTTCGGGCACTTGTCTGTGTTTGAAGGCTTCCCTGATAAAACGGTGACTGCCAGGCTCCGAGATAACGGATGGGGGCTGTTGCTGAAAGGAGAAATCAGTAAAGAATTATCCGGTCCCAAGTACGTATCGAAAATAAAGCCTAAAAAATTACACGCCGTTTTAGGCGTCAAGCAACTTTTCGCATAGTTTATTACGAACCCGAGGGATTCTAAAAGATCGATACAAAGGTTCGTATGTCGCCTACAAAGGTCGAAGGACTCGCCAATAATCAAAAAATCATCTAAGTAGTTGACTACTGTCACCCCCTTGCCTCGTAGAAAAGCTAAGATGGGTTTCATCAATTTCGTAAAAACATACGGAGCGCAAGCCAAACCAAATGGCAAACACGTAAATTATAATAAAATCTTAAAAATTTCCTGTGTTCCCCGTGAATCGGAACCGCGAAATAAGCGCTTTCCAGATCTACTGTGGTTAGAAAGGAACCTTCACTAACTAGTTTCGCGGCTGTACGAAAATCCTCTAATTTAAAATGAGGTTTGTCAATGAAAGAATTAAACCCTTTCAGATTTAAAATTAACCGTTTCTTTCCGTTCGGTTTGGCAACAATGAACACCCTTGAAATAAATTCATCCTGTGAATTGTAACATTTCTGTACGGCCCCCAGTCTTATTAACTCATTAACAGCCTCCCGAAGATCGCTATCCTCTCTAAGAGAGACCTGCGGAAGGTGTCTTTCGGAAAGATGCGGCTGTACCGGCTTCCTTAATAAAGGTCACTTAAGACCCTTGACCCAACTCAAAATCACTGGGTTGGAGGTTAATTGTGACCAGGGTAAATAATGAAAAGCGATCCGACCGGCAAAAGGAGGACTCACCTCGACTACGTCGATTTCCTCACATAACGGTCGCGCCTGACCGGGAAATGTCTCTTGGGGCGCCCCTTGTAAGCATCCGTCTCCCCCGAGCGACGGACAGGGCGTTGTCTGTTTTCCGCTGGCTGATGCGTTTCGTTCGTGGGTCTTCTAATCCATTTACCACCCCTTTGTTTGGGGACAGACCGTTGTATCGGTCTAACCTTTAATTCGCTAGCCGTGTTCTTAATGACTTTTGCCGCTTTTATCTTATCTGGCAAATCCTCCCCAAAGAGGAAGGTGTCAAAATCTGAATGCTCAACTAACTCCTTAATGGGTTTATTAAGTATAGGATTTATTAAGAATCTACGACGAAGCGATTCTCTATAAAAAAAGATCCGCAAGAATACGACCCGCATCCAAAAACGCTGACAACAGCTTGCTTTTCAATTCAAGCGAAACAGAATCCGGCTCATTTAAAAGTGACGTCAGTCCTTTTCCTAAGGCCGATAACCCTCTGCTTAAATGCGTTTGATGCTCCAAGCGAGACTTGTCTCTATTTATATAAGCTTGCGACATGACTGCCAAAATTTCGGGGTTAACCGAAGGAGGAGTAAGACCTTCACAATTTGTCTTAAACAAGTAATTATCCAAGAGCTTGGATTTCTCCTGTTCTGAAAGGCCGTGCCTTAGAATATGATTCCATCGTGAAGAAAGAGCGGGGTGGAAGTTAAACGTGTTTAGTTCGCCTCGCTCCGGATCATCTCCTAAACAAATTAGGACCTCGTCCGATAACACGAGCCTCGGCGGACAGATAGTTGTCGATGACGACCATCGGCAGAACTGCCCGCTTCGCTTGAACGTGGACCTGGAGAGCGCGATCGACCACGGCGATCTCGCTTCCTCCTTTCTAACGTTCGTTCCAATCTCTTAAGGCGCTTTAGAAGTTGCCTTTTGGAAAGGTCGTCCTCCGAATCGCTGGAGCGATCCCTTTTTTGTTTATGTTTCCCCATACTACAAAAAATTGAATTAGATATCAATACTTACGTCGCTTACGGGAAGTAAACGAACCCAACCTTGTTTGCTTAGCACAAGAAAACGAATGATAGGAGAGGGATGCGCACAGCAGGAACTGGGGAGAGTGGGGATTTCTTCTTTAAACCTTGTGACATTGGCATCTAGAGAGCGTACTACATAGTAAATAATAATTATATCTTCGTACTGGACACCGAAATATAATCCAAATTATTTGGATAATTTGTCCCTAAAAACTTGAAATTTGGATTTCTTGTCGGTTCCAATATCAAAGAAGACGCTGTCTGAAAAAGTCGTATCCAATGCTGTTACATCACTCATAGCACTCCTCTCAACACAAATTCGTGCTTGTATAGCAGAGGACTTCCAAAACCAAATCAAGGTGTTTTCGGAGAAGGTGGTACGACTCGAGAACGATTTAAGCCAAACCGAATCCGAGTTATCAAAAGTCAAAATCGAGTTAGCTGAAACTAAAGAAGCATTGAGGGTCTATAAGGACGACACGGAGCAGTATTCCAGAAGCAATAGTCTTAGGTTTAAAGAGTCCCCGACATAAATAAGGAGGATGTACCCACGGTGATCGCAACCCTGTGCTCCTAACGAATGCATCTCAATATTACTACAAATATGATTGATATGATATGATGAATACCTGGTAAAAAGGGAAAAAACCGCCCCATCATAGTAAACTTCATCTCACGTCACGCAAAAAATCTAATCTTTAGATCCAAGAAATAACTAAAAGGCAGTTTGATTGTAATTCGGGAAGACTTAACAAAGGCTCGGTAGCAGCTACTTAAAGGAATCTGCTGCTAGGTATGGGCCGAAATGTGTTTGGACTAGCGATTGTAAAATATTTGTGAAAAGGGGACCTAACGACATCAAGCGACAAACCATACATAAATCAAATATAATATTGCACAGTTTTTGCTATAAATTATTATTGAATAACGCTGCAAAGTTTACCTTTAAGCAAGCTATATTGCAAATTGTGGTATCGAGCTATCGTTTAATTTGTAAACATTGAAATAAATAATATGTAAATTTGTTCAATCATGGATATAACACGTCATATTAAATTTAAGTAGTTTTCTTATAGTATGCGTCTAGGACACATTAATATCAGATCTTTGGTACCCTCTCTCTATGATCTTAGAAGTTTTTTAGACGCGAACAGTTATGATGTACTCGCAATTGGTGAAACCCAGGAATAACAGATGAAGCCATTGAGGTTAATAAATATCTGCAATTACTTAGTGATTAATTACAATACAATACCGACAGTTGCAAAGCTTAAATCTATGAAAGCCACAATTACAACTTATTTATATGTACTATCAAGCAATTTTAAAATTCGCCTATATAACAAACTGCCGGCATTTTTGCCAGAAAGAAAATTGGCATGATTAAAATATTCATCCTCTATCCTATATAGCTTATGGACGTTGGAAGTTTTCTGAAGATCGTTATAAAGTAGTTTAACATTCTGAAATTAGACATATGTCAGTTGTCACTAAATATGTAGTCTCTTACCGTAGCTGTTGCCAGCTTATCATTGTCTGCGTAGAATAAATGATTTTCAATGTTGATATTTGACATGTTATACGGCGGTGGCGTTGCGCTGTTGTAAATTAGCAAATTTTCTGTTTCTCCGTAATCATACGATTGAAATTTTTGCGATTTACGTAACTGTTCAAAATGCCAAAAAGTATTTACGCTTGCCGAGTCCGAGTTGTACAACAAAGAAACTGGTAGCGTTTCCTAAAACACATTGTGGAATGTGCGTCTTTTCAGTGTTCGATTATGTTACAGGATCATTTTCTGCATAACTGAACCCCATGATTAACATATCGAATAATTGGCACAGTTCCATTTGGATTGGGTAGGGTAAACATAAATATTTAAACATCGTTCCCATCCTTGGATACATCTTTCCATTCGTAATAAACTGAATTGGGGCCTAGAGCAATGAATTCGTTATCGCAACAAACTAGATCAAACTTACCGCCACTACAACCCAGATTTTGGAAAAAAATTCAATAAAATCTACGTCGTGGAAATAAATCGCTGGAGCGAGGCCGATTAGCATATCTATTTTTTTCTCGTCCGGATAACTGCTCAAATAAATATACGCAGCTGTTGTTCCCATGGAATAACCAAGATATGCAATTTTCTGTTTGGTAACGTTACTAACAAAATTTATCTGAGCTGGTAAATCATAAAGGCCATTTTCTTGGATACTGAAATTCCAAAACGCTTCACTTTGATTGTCTAAATAGACGTGGTTGTTCGAATATTTAGACCCTCGAAAATTTCCTAACCAAACATCGTAACCGGCATCCGCTAACATAAAACCTAAATATCAACGGATGAGTACAAATAACTGCGTTCCAGTAACCCACCTACCAAGAGATTTTCTTCCAGTTATGAGGAAAGATCCTGAATTTATAGCTAGTCCATGTTGCAAGAATACGGGTTTTTTCGAAGTTGTCTTTGTATGAATTCCGTGTGGAATACGAAATACTGTTAGAATGTATCCGTCAGAAGTCGTTACATTGTGTTCTTCAATTGGATATCCGTATCGCATCACAATCTCGGGCTGGAAATTATAGCAGACTCATTAACCACCCTTTGTTAAATTTTTAATTCTATTCTACAGGTTCAGCAGCATTAAACAAAGACTTTGTTTTTCTCCTTTGGCAAGTTTAAGGTTAGATGCAACCATGCATGCAAACCATGGACTTTGAACGGAAAAAATTAATTCTTAGTTGACTTTACATTTAGTAATTAAACGAATCTATGTTTTTGTTGGCATGAATTGCTATCAAAGTGATTTGTTGTGATAGCATTGAAGTATGTGGATTATACAATTATTTGTAGATGTATAGACTATTTACGTAACTAGCACAGTACTTAAACATTGCGCTCGTTCTTTGTTGTATAACATTTTTGTAAAAAAAATACTTACGACTTCTAGTTCGTGATCAGGATTATAGTAACAATTAGGGTTTTCATCTCTATTAGAATAATAATCCTCAAAGGTTTTACACACGTTATTCCTATTCGATTTTAAGCGTAACACTACTATCCCTACGACAACCATCAAGAAAGCCGCTGTCTTCATGGCTGTACGAAATAAACACAAAAAATACCACGTTATAATACAGCGTTTCACTGAAATGCCAATTCTACTCTGACCATGCTTTTATGTATCATGGCCTTGTAATCCTTTAGAAAACAAGTGAGCGTAAAAACTCAGTGATAAGTATTTATACAAACATAACCCTTAAAAACAGTTGAGATATTTTTTAACGTCTCATATCCTGGAGGGCACTAAATTTGATTAGTATAGCAAATCTCAATAATCGAAACGACAACTTGCAAGAAACTTGCAGTAAAACTGTTTTTTAAACGCCATTTTACCGGTTTCAACTTTGAGAACGCGACGGTAGGATTAGTTTTTGTCCTTTGGTAATTTGATAATTGTATTCGCCTCGGTCGTTTTCTTGTATGGCGGGAGCAAGGTCTGGTACCGGTGTTTTCCAACTTGACAAGTGTAATCATAACATTACGTAAATTACTATCCGGATGAATTATGTTGTATACTTTTTCATCTATTGGACTCTTTAAAAAACGACTACAACCGTATTGCGTATTGCGTCATTTATTTCTCTAGGTCTAGACAGTTAAACATTTGTGGGGGCGAACGTAGTTCACCTACCGTTATCAGACGTTAGGCCTTTCCAGCATCTCATAAACAGCGAAACCACAGTCAAGGTAACTCATAAGCCAACCATCCGCCTTCCCAATTAGGAGAGGGTGCCATGCACTACCATGTAGGTTATTTAGGAAATTAGACGCCATTTAATTTGGCCTATTTGATATCACGTCATGCGACATGGTAGGAGATTTATTCACTGTGTGCTATCCTATTCTCTAAAATAACTACGCCATTAATAAAAATGGAACGATTCGTCTTAATTTTAAAGTTTTATCCATTGTGTGTGAAAATTTTTTAATAATCCCTTTCGCGTGTTCCTTGAAGTATATCGTATTGTTTTCCACTCCAGATGTATAATTTTTTCCTCAAAGAGCGCCAATGAGAACAGGTCCACCTTTAGGTACTGTTAACTAAGTTAGCTCCAAAGCCTCGTTGCATCACAAACTGTATGATTTTGCATAAGGTCTTTGCTCGAAGCTTCCACTGTTACTACTGTGTTTTATTTTGGAATCTTATTCCACATGATGATAAGCAAGTTTTGCTGGTCTTCTTGCATGAGCATCGACGAGTGATTGATTGCTGCATAGACAGCAGTTCTCTTTCATGCTTTTTAATGTTTTGATGGATTCTATTTGACATTAAAATTTTTATTTTTGGAACTTTGACGTTATTATCGGTAAGTAGTTTTATGGCTCCTGTAGTATTAGGCAGTTTGTAGTCATTAATCGTAGTGAAAATTCTTACAAAAATAAGATTTATTATTTTGCATAGTGAAAACTAAATAAATTTTTTACTACAACATTACATTTACACTACCTTGGAAATTACCAAGAGCGATGATGATGTTTAGTTATAATAATAGATTTGGCTACAGGTACATGGTGATGCACTGCGTACGGCACAGGGTGAGGCACTGGAACAGCGTATGGTGCTGGTACGGGCACCTCTACAGGTCTGGGTACGGCTACTGGAACAGCATGTGGAACCGCGTAAGGAACGGGTCTATCCACAGGCACAGGTACTGGTCTGTCTACTGGAACAGCGTACGGCTGCGGTACATGCACGGGGTAAGGTCTATCAACTGGAACATTTACGTGAACCGGTACTGGGACAGGAATTTGTCGTTCGACAGGAAGTGGATACGGCGCCGGAACTGGTACTCCAACATTTCTTGTAAGTGTTGTGTGTACATTCGCGATTGCTCCCAATTCGACCGCAGGCCCAGCAGCAATCGGCGCGGGGAGAGCTAGTTCACCACTTAAGGCTAAACCCGCCGCACTTCCGAAACCGTAACCCAATTCGTGGATTCCGCGCTTGTCATGTTTTTTTGCTGACTCTTCTGCTAGAGCGGAAGCTACCAGTAAACACACAACAAACTGAAAAAGAAAAGAGAAATTAAATTAACCTATATGCATTGTTATGATAGCACGTAAATCTGAACGGTAAGTAAAGGGACACGATTCCGTTCAACAGTCCTTGGACCTTTCGCAATTAATAAAAAAGTTTACACGACTCGAACTTTTATTTGACTAGTTAGCACGACCACCTCTGGATAAATTATATATGGGTGTCACATTCACAATGTAGCGATAGCGAAAGTGTTGTACACACGCTCAGGTCCATATAAATAAAACTGATTTCATATAGCAGAACATGCCGAAATATTTCGTGAGAGTGTACATACCAAAGTCTTCATCTCTTTAGATATTATTAGTAATTGTCACTTGTAGGGTGATTTGTAACTGAAGCATTACTTCTTTGAGGGCAACTTTATACTTCGAACCCCACTATTTTATTTCATCCACTGCTTACGACAGTGCAAAGCCGTTTCAGGGATATTTGATAAGTAAGGAACAAAATGACTTTCTCTCTTCATTATGTATGCGTTCGGAATTGACTTATGTGTTGATATTTGATAAGCCTACCGAATTTTGTACATACTAATTTTGCCTTATAGATATTCACGCGGTGCTTTTAATTGCATCGTACGTTGTTAGATTGTAGAGTTGTGATCTCAGTCTGACCATGCTTGTTTAAATGGGACTACAAAAATTATAGTTCACTATTTATTCGCCGTTTCATCATTTAGTAAAACACCAGTTGGTGACCAATTTCATATATTTTCATTAGAAAAATTGTTTCTTTTATGGCCTTCATTATTTTGCTAATTGATCTCGTCAACTGAGAGTGCGTCGATTGAAACTGGGCAAAAGATATTCAAATAACTATACGTGTTACGGGTACTGTATGGCCTGCCAAACAGAGTTCCCGTTAATATGGAATATTATTTTATATAACAAAGTAAGGATCTACGAAATGCTGAAGTTTAATGACGGAAGCGAATGCACTCCTATACCTCTAAGAAATAGCAGGATTTGCTATCATAATTCTACTTTTCGTATTTCATCTACACAATTTCATTTCATACATGCTCCAACAAGCATCCGACGAATACACGTAAAATGGCAGTTTCGAAAGCGTGAGATATTCCTACTAGTCAAGTTCGCACATTGTAACATTTTAGGTGAAATCAGACAGACGACTTTATTCAATTGCAAAATTTAATTTCGGCCGCCACGAAGCCATTAAATGTTTAAGAGCCCCCCGAGTCCAGTTTAAGATATTTTTTGAAAATGAAAATCGTATTCATTGGCAAATCTATACCTTACACTTTCTACGGATATAAAACGAGCCGATAAATTCCTTAATTATTATCAGTATTCGTATAACGTTCCGCACTTGATTTCTTTTTGAGGGATCAAACCATTATTTAATTACAGGTCGGATAGTCTATGTATCGAACAGAACAGAAAGAGCAACTTTCGGTAATCGAGTTTTAAATTAGCTGAATCTCAAAAAATCTAGAAAAATCAGCTAATTTTTACGACCGTGGGTAAATGCAGATTGTATCGATTTTACATGTTGAATAACAATGTATCCATTTCCTATGTATCCACATTGTGGTCGTTACGAAAGGTCGGTGACTTGAATTGTTAGACTTTTGCGAAGGATATGGTACAGTGGTTTTCTGTAACTAATAACCATTACGTATTCAAAGCTCGTTTGATTGACATAGATTTATAAATCAATGAGGTATGGGAGCATAAGCTATTGAAGAAAATAGTAACCGTATTCATTAATTGTAAAGTTAATTGGAGCACTTATAATGAGTAAATTAATTGTCTTAGTTTCGATATTAATACTTCAGCATCTAATGTTGTTTTTGAAGCAATCAATAAAATATAGGTTAATTTATTTCCAGAAATTTGAGAAAAAAACCAGATAAAATTAAACCTTGCTTAAAGTTTAGTCGACCAAAATCTATGGCAACGGCAACAATTATTATGACAATCGTTGCTATGGTATTTAAGTTATGCTTTAAGGGATACTTAATTTTGACGGTGCACAACTGGCCTTTTAGACCGGGAGGCAGCGTACATAGTAACTAAACCATAAGCGACAAAAAATTCGACAATACAGGCTGAAAGTACGTTGAAAACTAATAATAAAATCACTCGTCTGCCAGTCGTAAATGACAGCATTAACTTGGTGCGGCGCTGAATAGGTGACTTCTTTAGGTGATCAACTAATTTATCAAACTATAAGGACCACGGAAAAGATTTGTATCAAGAAATCCCATTTTTTCCATAGTTTTCAAATATGCTATGGCAGAAGATTTCAAGTGCAGCGTTGGTAGCGAAAGACGCCCTCCAATGTAGGGAAAAACACCCCTGAACTAAACCATGAGGACCGTATAAAAATTATACATAAAAAATTCCTCTTTTTGTAACTAATTTAAAATATATCCTGGCAGACGATATTAAGTGTAGCTTTAATAGTGGCAGACGTCTTAGAAGTTAAAAAATTTAGGTATAGTAAATCCCAGCGAGTGCGAGCGTGTGAGAGATAAGCGCGCGAGAGCATAACCAACAGAGATAGCGATAGGATACTGACTATTGAGATCTTTCAAACCATTTGATTCTAAACTTCTGATTCACATAGTTCCATCCACTTCAATCAAACGGATTGTAGAAACTCAAACATTTTTCGGTGGCATTCTCCCAAATTGCGATGAACTAAACAATGAGGACTATACACAAGTCATACATCCGGTAAATGCGTGGGAACCCGGTAACCCGTTACCCTGCGCGTTACACACATCAACACCCAAATTCACGAACATCTCTCGAAGGTTTATGAATTTCTGTGTGTTATTGGAAAAGAGACCTACTTCCATCTATACCTTGATGGTAGCGTCAATTTTACATTTCCCAAAGCAATAACAGCAATATTCATATCGGAAGCGCTAATAATGACTTCGCTACTTGGTAGTTTACCAAGATGGTAAATTATTCGAGAATCTGCCTTTTAGTGGCTGCAGAACAATTCAGTTTTTACCACATCATCTTCTCTTCTCACAAATTTATAGCACTTATCTTCATATGTGGCAAACACAAGTTTCCTTCCAAGTAAAGCACGACAGGTCTTTTTTTCCTATGAACGGTATAAGTAATCTATAAGAGAGGCTTTGAGCTATCATTGCGAAGTGGTTTTATGAAATTTGCAGGCTGCTTCTGAGTGGAATCAGAAATGGAGTAGGATTATAATCTTTCCTTATTTTGATCCCAACGATCATGTTCTGCGTCCTTCATGGAAGGGGTAACTATCAGTCAAAAGTAAGATGTACTTCTCTCGCTGACACAGCACAAATTTTGCCGAGGATGTGTTCAGAAAATCGCTCAAAGGTTTACTGGAGATCTTTTAAAAGATGCAAAAAAATAATCCATCGATTAAAACAACATCTACAACTGGCGATGGACTAGCAGCACTTGAAGAAATCATACTTCCGAAAAAGTTTCAGCAAATCAAACTTGTCGATTTTAACCATCGATCCATCAATGTTGCATAGAGACAACGAAACTGGAGTCAGAGGATAGTTTAGAACGAGCTGAAGATCTATCTTCTTTTCTCTAAGTTTTCTGTTTCTCAGTCTGAGAAGAATTCAAGAAATACCGACAATCTTATCGCGAAATAAACAATTTATTATTTTCCCTAATTTAATTCGTTTGGTAACTCCAAGCAGTGCGTAAATATAGCTATCTCTGTTCGTTGTGCTCTCGTGCGCTTATCTCTCACACGCTCGCACTCGCTGAGATTTACTATACCTACGTCTGCCACTATTAAAGCTACACTTAATATCGTCTGCCAGGATATATTTTAAAGTAGTGACAAAAAGAGGAATTTTTTATGTATAATTTTTATACGGTCCTCATGGTTTAGTTCAGGGTGTTTTTCCCTACATTGGAGGGCGTCTTTCGCTACCAACGCTGCACTTGAAATCGTCTGCCATAGCATATTTGAAAACTATGGAAAAAATGGGATTTCTTGATACAAATCTTTTCCGTGACCCTTATAGTTTGGTAATTTAGTTGATCACCTAAAGAAGTCACCTATTCAGCGCCGCCCCAAGTTAATGCTGCCATTTACGACTGGCAGACGAGTGATTTTATTATTAGTTTTCAACGTACTTTCAGCCTGTATTGTCGAATTTTTTGTCGCTTATGGTTTAGTTACTATGTACGCTGCCTCCCGGTCTATTTACTGAACTTGGTGAACTATACCTAAACGTAAAGGCCGTATCGCAATTCTTGTTTAACTTGGCGTCTAGGAAATATTAAGTAGCTAACCTTTCTTTATCCACAGCGATCTTATTCGTAAATAGCTTAAAATTCATAACAAAGTAAGACGTATCTCAAAAAGTGTAGCAGTATCTCAATTTCCTTAACATACAAACCACAACTCAAACATGCGTTGTTTCTGCATAATTGAGCAATAATGAGGGATTCGCTGACTTTTCTTAATCAGGAAAGCCGCATTTAAATATATAACTAATCCGCTTAAAAAAGCGGTCCACATTAACGCCGATGGACGGAGATATGAATCTAAGATTGTTTTAGATGTGGGTGTAATTCTTGTTGGTTCGTTAAGCAAAACTTTTAATCCAAATGAAGACAGAAGATTTATAAGCGCACTACGAATATCCTTTTGTGAGATCTTCAAGTCCTTAACAAACTTGCTGACGCAAATGACAATTTGTATCTTTGTTTTTTGGCCGTATCTGTAAGTCTAAAAATGATTTTCAGAAGAATTGGAGGACCGACAGGTTTTACGATTGGTGTTTTTGTGGCGAATTGCACAAATAAAATCGTATTAACAAAGAAAGCAATTCGTGACCATCTTGGGCTAAATTTATGCTTTTGTTACCGAATGCATTACTGCTTTTTGTGGCTTCTAGTGTCTGTTTAGATTGTTTTTTAACAGAAACATGTAGAGCGATCGTGATTTGTACAAGAAAAATTTAAATTCTTAAGGCAATCTCACCAATTTTCTTGTCAGACGGATAAGGTTGCAAAAATCTATATATTGCTTTACATATTTATGGGGTCGGGTGGCTTATAGGAAGTGGATTGTATTAAGTAATTCACTCCTACTTTCTCTTACTACATCGCTCTGAAGAATTTATAATTTACTTGTATGGTCAAAATACAATGTAAACAACGTCACAAATACTATATACACAAGTGTGCTTGGTTAACATTTTGAAAGGAGTAACGCGTAGACTGCCGTTCATGCACTAATTCTAATCGTTTATGGTAAGTGTAGTACGGTCATGAAACTTGATAAGTATTGTGTAATTGATTAAAGATTATTTAGTAAGCGTTAGACCAACTTAGAAGCGCGGTTGTAAATTTGTACCCATGTCGATAGCGGAATCCGGAAGCAGGCAGTCTGATACGTGTTTTCGGTCTGCTAATGAAAATTCTAACCGGCATCTTTAGTAGTCCTACTATGTATTAGTTAACCTCTATACGTATGCAGTATTACGAAATTGAAAATCAAATTCGAGTTCCTGGCAATCTCATAGGACATAGTAAAAAGCTCTTAAACTGGATAGATAGACCGAGATTAAACTTTCTTGTCTTCTTGCTCTAGGCCTGAAGTTCTAAAATACAATTATCGACATGACAAGTGGGATAGTTACACCATGATAAATGCTATTTGGAG